CTTAGGGAGCTCGGACCCTTAACAGGGAGCTCGCTCTTAACAGGGAGCTCGGGCTCCTAGTAGGGAGCTCGGATTTTAGGGATGTCGGGTTCTTACTTAGGGAGCTCGGACCCTTAACAGGGAGCTCGCTCTTAACAGGGAGCTCGGATTTTAGGGAGCTCGGGTTCCTACTTAGGGAGCTCGGGCTCCTAGTATCGAGCTCGGACTTAGGGAGCTCGGGTTTTAGGGAGCTCGCTCTTAAGAAGGAGCTCGGACTAAGTACAGCGGTCTGGAGTTCAGGCTCGGTAGTGAGTTTGGACTTTCTTCCGATGTTCGCTTTGGGTGCTCTACTGTCCCGAACTGCTTGCTTTTGCCACGTGTCGGGCGATCGCGAGGTCGAGCCAAATTTCCCTTCATCAGGAGATATCCACAACCGTGGTTCTAGGAGATTCAGACTCGATGATTATCATTCAGCCGGACAGTCTCAGTGAGTGATGAAGTTACCCTCTTTTTGTATGTTCGTTTATCACGTCGTTACCCTTTATTATATATGCGACATATCACTCAATCCATACCCAACACTCTACCCTGGGCAGGGCGTGGAAGGGAAATCTGCTGGGTTAAGGTTTGTAACTTGGTTGGAAATGTGAGAGATAAAAAGCTAATTAAAATTTTGAGCCTATTAAACGTCAAATATATGTCCCAAGAGCCCGTTTGGGAAGGGCTTTAATTTTGATTGAGCTGGTTTTATCGTATATATCTTTACCATTCACTGATTTTCGTTGTACATTGGCACCCTGTACTTTGGGGTAATCTCACTTTAGAGTTTGAACTTTTAAATATGTCATTTCAATACCTAAACTTCTAACTTCTAATAAATACCAAAATCCATTAGTTATGATGAGGGGTAAAATTACAAAAATATATGATTCTCTTTTTTTACTTTTCATCTTCTTTTACATTTGGATTTTGTATATAAATCAACTGTAGAAAAGTAAACTCATCTCAGTCTGCTCATTGGAGGTAGTCTCAATACTTTTGGATGCTTGCTTTGGGACCAAAGTCTGAAGGTAGAAGAAATATGAACAGTACATATATATATATATATATAAAAGAAGTCTGAATGGACCAGTTGATAGTGATCTGATGGTGGTTAAAGGTGGTACTGATTATGAACCGTGGATTGCTCTACACTAATCCTCCATTTTTATATTTTAAATTAATGTTATTACACTGTGTCATTCACTCACTAATTCAGGGAGAAGGAGAAGGAAGAAGCGAAAATGGATTTGGCTACGACTTACCAGGATGGATGGATGGGGTCGGCACTCGGCAGTCGACGACATGTACCATAATTGGCGTTAAGAGTTGTACTTCAACCCACGTTTTACCCGTGACGTAAAAATCTTGTAGGAAGGACTCGGCCAAGATTCTCAGTCCTCCAGGATCCAACCCAACTGCTTACTACTGGTTACTACCCATTAATTAATTTTTGTCTTTCTTTTCACATTCCAACTGTAATTATAAGCGTGACAGCGAGGGAGGACATGAGAAACACGTGACAAATTCTTATCCTTTTCCTTCTTCTTCCTTCCTCCTTGTTAGTTGTTACATAAGGCTATGTTTGGTAGAGGTGTAAATACAAAATTGCGTCAGTGGAAATAAAAAACGCTCACTCAAATGTATTAGAGTAAAAAACAAACCGGCCGAATGCATGTTTTACACACTTGTGCGTTTGGCAAAATGGTGTAAAATCATTGGTGTACAAGAATTGAAGAAGCCATTTTTCTGGAATTTGTTGTCGGAGGTAGATAGGCGATGGGCGATGGGACGATGAAATGCTTTGATCGTCTAAGCGTCCTCACAGAGAAGGAGAAAAAGGCGTTTGAACCTTGAACTTGGCAAATAGAGAGAGAGAGAGAAGAGGGTCATACGATGAGATGCCTTGATCCCCCTGATCCGGACTGATCTGATGGATCCTTGGGTCCATCACATACGTGAACCGTCCAATAAAATTCACAAAGTGAGACTTAATGGACATTACGGCATTCTTGTGACGGGTTGACAGGTTAAGAGGTGGTCTTCAACCTCTTGACAGCTCCATCTACCAATTATTTGCTTTAGCAATTAACTAGTCACCTTACCAAATCACCCTCAAGCTTGGGATTTGGGAAGGTCGGCAATGGAAGAGGTTGGGGGCAATTGTAGATCAACCACATGCATTCATCACTTGTCTTACCATGTTGGCGTGAGATGGTTACAAGCATAGAGGAAATATAAGTATATAGCATTGAGAGAAAGAGAAAGAGAGAGAGAGAGTAGAGATGAATATTTTCTCTTTGTTTGATTCCAAAATACAAAGAGCCGGAATCAGAGGTTTGTTTGGGCCGCCATCATTGTCATATGAGCCTGCCAGAGTTACATTCATGGTCAAAGAGCTTTGCCTCTTGGATAATAACCATAGAATGGGGAGAGTTGGTCAGTTGGGTAGGGTTTCTATTTTCTACTACTGTTGGGAGTTCAGATGGGATCCCACATGCCAAATACATGGAGATGTACCTAAATCTATGGGGCACACTCTATGGAGAACCCATTCAAATTAAATTGGGATCACTTATCAAGAAAAGACATTTCAACACTCCCAACATAATCTTCTGACACTGCACATCTCATCATAAAGCTACGACTTATCGCTATATATGAAATATTTGGTGTGTGAGAGGCGTAGGGTATTGGAATGTATTTTGTTGGCTGCTGATATAGACTCGTTCAAATTCTAATTCGTGAGGTAAGGAATAATGGAAAGTGGGCCACCAATGTCCTTAATCAAATGACAGGCTGGTGGGGGTGTCGATCTGGCCCCAACGTACGACAACATATCAGAGAGAGAGAGAGAAGAGGACAGACAAGGTGAAAGGTGAATGATGAAGGGACTATATACGGAGCACAATTTCCTAGTTAGGTTGGGTTGGGGGATCATATTATTTTTCGCCCTCCCGGTCATGTTCCCAAATAGGATGGTTTCAGACTTCAGAGTCACGTGTGTGATGAATTATTTTCTATCTACTTCACCCACCACGAGACGACAATGTGATGACATCATTCTCCCTTTTAATTTTTATTTTCTAGTAAGAAGATGAAATCAACTTCATCTGTCTAGTCTTCCAATTATTAACAACTGTTACTTGGAACCCGCCGTTTTAGATGCTGTAATTTGTACTCCCCTCTTACTCCACCATCCATGTACTCATTAGTGATTCTCCATATATATAAACCATGCATGTACCATCGCCATCATGTGATATTGTGATGGTGATGATTCAAAAATGAATGAACTCCATTCCCAGCTAATAGCTTGGAATTGGCTATAAGGAATGTGGCATTCAATCAAACGTGAAACGTGCTTGCTGGCTGCTATAAAAATAAATTAGGATAAATCTTCTTTTGAGGGAATAGAATAGGGTAAATAAAAACAAACAAACAAACACATGCATGAATGAAATATTACATTAGGTAAATATTAGGTCATTGTTGCAATATTTTATAATTATTTAATGCATGGCTCATGGTCATGGTCATGGGCCACGGCTGCTTGTCAGCAGGTTAAATCCATGTAGCTAGTTGCGCTTCATCACCTTTAATTAGTTTTATTTATGAGATTCCATGGATTCCATGAATCAATGAAAAAATCAAGAATCATGTCAAATGCATGGACCATGATCGTTGGTGGTGATTGTGGATTGGATGTTTTCGCCTTCTAACTTCTAAATATCCACCCCCTTCCCCATCTACTCTTTTTCAATTACAAGAATAATTAAAAGCAAAGCATTGGTTCTTATTATTTCTCAACCTTACCTCACCCCTCCCTTTCCTGAAAAAGGTTTTTATATATCAAAACAAATACAACCAGAAAACCCATCCACCATCGCCTTCCTTCATGTTCTCTCTCTCTCTCTCTCTCTCTGTTTTTCCTTTCCTGGGTGAATGGACCGTTGGACCCTACCTTCATTTGTCCATTACCTTTATTCCCAACCAAACTCCCTGTACCACTGGATTTCTTTCTTCCTTTCTTTTCTTTTTATGACGTCTATAATTAATTAAGAATAGCTGAAAGGAATGGTGATAGTGGTGGACTTGGAAATAGTCTCTGATGAGTTTGCTAACTTGCGCCTCCATGGCTTTCAAAACAGAGGGCCTTAGGGCCTTTTCAATCCTGCAGCTCTTCACTCTAATCATGTCTTCCTTTTCCTGTCCTCGTAAGTGTAACCAATACCCATTAGCAGATGAAATTGATACAAAAGACTACAAGAGGAATCCTACGTCCTTGCTAATTAATACCATATTAACAAATATTGATTAAATACAGTTTCCAACCCTAAGAGGCTAAGGTACAGATGAGAGGAAGTAGGCAGGGAAAATGGAAGAGAATGTCGTGAACCACAGACCCATCGGGCCACCATTTGACATTTTGCTTGGGCTCAATCGCTTGTTCGTGGAGCAACTACTTTACAGTGAGTTCACTCGTCCGTCCGTCCGAATCATCGCCCGACAAAAAGTCAACAACCAAACCGAAAACAATTTCTGATAGAAAACATAGTATTAGGCACAAATTTAACTGGCAGAGGCAGACGACGGGCTTTAACTTAAGCACTTGTACAACTCAACCGTCGAAACCGGTCTGACTCCACACTGCATCCCGAACCCGGCTCATATCCCGTCCCTTGAGGGTTCGACCCGCTCCCTCAAAAACCGAAGTGGGCGTCATCTTCCGTGTCCGTGCATACTCCCGTGCCAAATATTCGTGTGGCGGTATCCTCTCCCCGTCATGATCTTCTATCCCATCATCGGAGTCGTGCATCGATTCCACCGAGTCCACGCGGAAGATCCTCGGCCAATCAGGAACGTTCACTGGTGCCGACGCAGCCATGTTATGACGCTGGGATGCCATGTTTTCTTGGGATCGGAATTGGTGCACGATCCTTGGCGATGGGCTTGTCCTACTTCTGCCGTCGTTAAACGCCAGCGATAGCCCTCCAACGTGGTCGTCGCGATCTTCCCTGCCCATCCACCGCTGAGGTCGAATACCACGGTCTCCGTTATTCTCTGCCCCGAGGGAGCCCCACTCCGTGGCCGCAACATTCCTCGTGTGATCATCCCGATCCACCATATCGTCGACCATCGACCATACATCTTCTTCACCTAGTTCCGGCGCATCCTTTCCGTTGTCTTCCCCAGCACCATATCCTAAACTCCCCAGTAGACGTTGATGATTGGGCCCCAGTTTCCGGCCCTTTACCATCCTTCCTCCGCCCCGGCCGAGCTTTTATAGCATGAGGAGATTCTCCGGCGTGTTGGAATGGATGCGTTCCGACCACCGAAGTCGGAATTCTATGCCAGAATGTGTGGGCGGCTAGGCTGTAAAATGTTATATAAGTAGCCGAAGTTTAAAACCCCCACATGTATATATAGCATTCAGCATTTCACATGAGTCACGACTGGACCCGGCCTCATTTCATTTTAATTTCAGTTTCATTTTATCTGCATTTCTATTTCATTAGGTATCCAGTCAAGGATGGAGGGAGCGAATAGGGGGTGAGAGAACAGCAAGCAGAAAATATATATATATAAAGAAACGAAAACCAAGAAAGGAACGCATAAACCACGTCACATATTCAGTCGCCGTCGCGGAGCATAGTTGGGTTGTTCTTTGACCCATCAAGTACATCCAAAGGTGGGCCCAGTGTCCACGTGGGCACTTGCGGCTCGAGATCCCACCAACTCATCCTTCACGGTTGCCGATATCTATATGGCTGCAGGGTTATCGGTCCCACTAGCCCAACCCTTTTCTTGATGCGACGTGGGAGCACAGTGACCAGACCTTGTAGGGATCTGATGGTCACCGGATCAGCTGCATTTGATGCTGTGTTAGGGAACCAATAGTAACACTCTACGTCAGCTATCAAGTGTACATTGGCCCGCAACCACTCCAACTTCCCACTTCGCGTCATGGCTGACGTGGGGCTTGATTATTGGTTAGACAGCTCCTAACACAATCCATCTAATCAACAAATTTTGATGGGAACGATGGTGTGAGACGAACCTCAGGGGAAAGTAGCATATAAAAATAAATTAATAAAGTATGTAAATATGGGATCGGGATTGAACAATTTACATTTTATTTTAATAATAAAATAAGAACTTAGTTGCGGTGAGTGAGAGGGTTAGAACTGGAGAAAAATTGGAACATCTTTTTAAAGAGAGGGAAGGAGAAAGATAGAGAAACTGGGTGGAGATGATTGATTGGGGCACATTGGACGGTGGAGAAGAGGTAGGGTCGAAGAGGGAAGCTGTCGTTTGTGTAAATAAAAGAGAGAATAACGGTTTAGCCTAGATTCAGAAATTTTACATTCAAAGTACAATTGGAGTGGGTGATAGTTTAAAATTGATGTTAATGCATGGGCGAATTGTATAAAGTGAAGATTTTTGATATTTTGAATATTTATAACTTTACGGTGAAAATCAAAAATCTGTATTGAACCGGTTAATACTTCTAAAAAATTATTATCCCTCGTGATAAAAATTTGTAATCAGATTTTGATTTAATGGCTTTATTGCCCATGTATGATTCTCGTTAAAGTTGCTTCTGCTGATGCAGTACTAGTACTTGTTTTTAATTGTGGTCGATGATACATGATACTAGCATAGTAGTTATAATAAGTGGCAACTAACAACTATAGGCAGCCAATTTAATTTGATCTGATGATGGGAATTATTGTTGTTATTGTCATGACGTCGAGCCCGTTTCCCTCTTCGCTTGACTGAGTCCATATACTCCATACTGCATAGGATTGGAGAGAGAGAGAGAGATGGGTCCCAGTCCATCTCTTGCAGAAATTGTTCTGGCCCGGTCCTACAAAGTGGGGAGCCCGCCTAAATTTGCCAGATCTGGATGTATCATTGCGACTTAGGTGTGGAGCCCGTCTTGGTCGAGTACCGATGTGATGTAAAGTATTGCACATTCATGGAATCGTGGAACACCGAACGCAAATTGCAGACGTAAAAAAAAAATAAAAATATTGACGGTGTGTTCGAGCCTCGAGGTAGGTCTCAGGAAGAAATTATTGCAAACGTAGAAAAAATAATAAAGAACACAGCGTACCCAGCATACATTGTGTCAGGCAGGCGCTGGCCCACTCTCCGGGAGATCCATTCCACCTCCCACTTCCAATGTGGAATCTCCGATGCCCATGATATTCAATTCAACGTGCATAAAGACGAATGGTCTTGGGAACAAATGGTGTTGATGCTTACCCATTTGCCTTAGATATATCGTCTTATTATTTTGTCTCATAAATGCTGATGACCATCGGATCTACAAATAATAATAAATTTAATAATTATAGATCTGAAAAGTGAACCTACGAGAGAGAGGCGTTCACAAGGACGGGCCCACCCCCACCATTGATGTGCATTACGTGGTGAAACATGACAGCCTAAACAACCATCTACACTTTCGAGGTGAGGGAAGAGGGGTTGTAGTGTAATGTGTAATGGTGCGGGAAGGACAAGAAATGTTGTTGCGTTGTCGCGGTGGAATCAGAATCTCACCTGCTACTTGGCACGAGCTGCCCACACACCACACTAGTTAGCCCCCCCAAGGTTAAAAGGGCAAATAATCAAAACAAAAAGGGCATACACACAAGTGTGTTTCGCATGTGATTTCATGATTTCTTGTTTAAAACAGAGGTGGGGGTATAATTAAATTGGGAGTGATTGCACCGGATCATTTGTTTAATGGTTTCATCGCTTACTACCACCCTCTACGGCGGCAATTGTTTATTTAGGGCACTCAATCACTTGCACATCAATTAGTACATAAAAAAACTTAACGGTCCATTAAAATTTTAAACCCATCAATTGAGTTTTACATAGATGATTCTTTCAAAAAACAAACACATCCTAACTTGCACGAACGGGGAGGTTTATTGCAACTATGGTTCCCATGATGAAGGCCAACCCACATTTACTACCAGTGTCAAAAAACAACTAAATTAAACCCTTTGATTTGTTGCCATCATCTCACGTTGAATTAGATTAAGTAAATTCTTGGTGGAGCCATTATAATAAATCTAAGGCCAAGAATTTTTACTTTAACCCTACGACTCGGACAATAGCCTAGCAAAAGTGAATTCGTAGGCATACAACATCTGGGAACATGGTAGTCGGTACTTATTGGTACATACACGTTGTAATCCACAGTATAGCGAATTCTGGTATGTCGTTTGGTCGGTACTAAGGGTGTTCATAGGTCGGGTTAGGTCAGTTTCAATCAATTTTTTCAACTGACTCAATTTAGTTGGTTTAGTTATTGATTAAATCGAAATCAATTGACCCTAAAGCTAATTCAAACATGAAGGGTCAGTTTTTCGGTTTAATGGGTTTATATATATATATATATATATATATATATATGAAACTAAAATATATATTTTTAAATATCTATTTATATTTAAGTTTATTTCTTTTTAGTTTTTATGCAAAATCAAAATATATATATTTAAATTGATTAGTTTTTTTATGCAAAACTGATTTTTTTGTCAATATATATTTAAATTTATACAAAACTGAATTAAATATTGTACCATTGTATTATATCTGTATTGATCTTATGTTTTATCATAAATAACCAATTTATTTTTCAAAGTTCGAACAAACGCAAATAAAATATATCTACCTTTAATATATAGGGTAAGGACTAATATAATTAATTATTACTTAAACAGCTAAACATATAGGACCGGTTCAGTTTGGTTTCACCAAACTGAGTTATCGGTTTATTTTTTCACACAAATCAAAACTGACTTGTGGTTTTAAAAAACTGATCAACTCGAGTTGGATCAAACCAGTTTGATCGATTTAATCAATTTAACATTTAATGTGAACACCCCTAATTAGTCCTATAGTTGAAAAGAACTTAAGAGATATTGGGGCTACGAGCTTAAAAGATATATACCTATCCAATGATTGAGAGAGAAGCTAGTGCTGGTATATCAGTAAGTTAAGTAGCAAGGCCATTTTGAGTAGAAGGGGTTATTCAAACGGGAGGCCACGAGGACCACGACCAAGATCAACACGGGCCAATGAGCTTTGAGACCACAAACCTTCACCATGAGTTCTTGATTGGATGAATGGATAGTGTGATCGGGTGAATCTTGCCCACCTACTAGAGGCAAAGTTGAGTTGTTATTCGTGCACAGCCTATTTCCTCAATACCCATTTAACACTTAGAACCTGTTTGTTTTTGGATAATTAAAGGGGAGAAAGCATGGTTCAAAGTATCGAAAGGCGTATCGATACTTAGATACACACAAAATCAGTTTCTTTTAGTTTTTTTTTTTAACTTTGGTTTTTGGGGAGTTAAAAAAGGTTTTTAATTTTATTAAAAAAGGGTGGGTCCTCGGGACCCAAAAGATATGATACGATTCGCCCAATACGGGGCATATCGTATCGATTTTTTAAACCTTGGGAGAAAGTCGATCAATTTTTCCACATTCATGGATAAGTAATTGTAGGTTCTACTGTAAATCATTTTTCCATATGTATAACTCATATCTTAAGTGGATAAATAATTTTTTAGAGCTGTAATGTGGGCCAAGCTAGAAGAGTCAACATGGCCGATTACAACAAGGGTTGTGCTAGGCATGGCATTGTCGCTATAGTTCCGTGCCAAGCCAAGGTACAACATGGGAACATGGCCCAGGCTGTAGAGGGGATTGGGCCTTCGAGACACGATCAAGATGCAAGACATGACACAACCCTTATATCGGCCTGACATGAAACAACACCAATGTGGCATGCGAGAATATAGCCCTTGGAGGAGGACCAATGGTTATTGATGAAGGGAAATTTGGCCCGACCTCGCGATCGCCCGACACATGGCAAAGACAAGCAGCTCGGGACAGTAGAGCGCCCGAAGCGAACATCGGAAACAAGTACAAGCTCACTACCGAGCTCCCTATTAAGAGCGAGCTCCCTGTTGAGGGTCCGAGCTCCCTAAGAACCCGAGCTCCCTAAGACCGAGCTCCCTACTAGGAGCCCGAGCTCCCTGTTAAGAGCGAGCTCCCTGTTAAGAGCGAGCTCCCTGTTAGGGGTCCGAGCTCCCTAAGAACCCGAGCTCCCTAAAGTCCGAGCTCCCTATTAAGAGCAAGCTCCCTACTAGGAGTCCGAGCT